TTTGACTGTATTTTGTGGTAATGTGGCAGCCACTTGCACACAGCAATGTCCCACCGATAGCCATGGAGTGAGTGACCAATTTTATTTGGGGGATTGTTGACCAGGACACTCGGAGAAACTAACTCCCTTATCTTTTCAAAGAGTGCCATGGGATCTTTAACATCCACTTGAACAGGCTGACTTGGAACTCAGTTTAATGTATCATCTGTAGGGTGGCACCTCCGACAATGCAACACCCCCCAGCCCTGCATTTCCCTGTATTGGAGTGTGGTCTTAGACAATGTGATTCCAACTCCCGACTTAGGGTTTGAACCCACAACCTTCTGTCTCAGAGACAAGAGGGGTACGAGCCAAGCTGAGACACAAACCATTACTCCCGGAAAGTGATCCACCAATCGACCGGGTTTGTACTGACTGCTAGGTAAACAGGCATTTGGAGTAAGGAAATCTGCCTAAGGCTTGGCCCCACCCGGGAATCGAACTCAGGCAGGGCAAAACCTTAGGCAAGTTTCGTTATGAGGTGAGTGCACTAACCACTACACTACGGGACTTCTGTAGACCATTTGAAAATGACAAAATCTCTATGGACTAACTAAACAATGCAATTACAGATAATGCCCTGAAAAGACAACCATTCACAAATGTAAAGGAACTTGTGATATGGTACAACATATTGTAACATGGGGAATTTTAATATAATAAAGTAATTCAAAGAGTGTGGGGAGAAGAATCTTCAAGGGAAGGCTCTTTATAGTTCCTCAAAATTTTGGGACTATTTTGTTTTGAATTTTTTAGAAATAAAGATGATTTTATTGCAGGCCAAATCTACAAATTATGGTTTTGATGTTCAGATTGTGCTTAAGTTCATTTGCAAAAGATTTTTATACAGAAATCAGTAAGCCTCATACCATTTGTTGTCTATGTCCTTGTAGGGAGACGTTTGAGGAACAGATGAGGTGGAATAGAAATGGTAAGTATATATTGAAGATATGGTTTCTGTATTTCAGCCCTCTTCCACAACTATCCTTTCACAGTGGTCAATATTTGTTTTTTTTATAGATGATCAAAATGTGTATCAACCTATAGTCTGATCCCCGTTATAATGCAACTCATTATAGTACAAGTGCATTTTTAGTATAGGTATGTTGTGGACCTGAGATATACCAGAAGTGCTGGACACTTGCAGATTCTAATGCTGACTGACCATCTTTTTATGTGCATGTAGGGTGTAGTAAATGATATTAGCGATGCTTGTGCCCTATGTAATGCAAGGTCTGGTTTTTTTATGTGGAACCAAACCACCACATTAAAACAGGGTTCATCCGTAGTAAGGCACTATACAAATGTAATTTGTTGTTGTAGCTGACTGGTTCAACTCGAGTTTGCTCCAAATTCCCTGCTCTTTTTTTTCCCCCCGCCCCTCCCCAACGCCAGCAAACTTTTAATTTCTAGTCTTATTAATTTCAAACCGTATTTGAAAGTAGCTGTCATCTTTCCAAGTCTGTTTTCAATAGTTTTTACTTAAGATTTTATTAGAGGCTGGTTAAGTTTCTATAAACAAACAGTTTGGTGAATTATGGTCAACTACCTAATTTAATATTTGGTCAAGGACTTTTTTCTCTGGTCTCTGTTAGTTTCCATAAATGAGGGAAAAAAATGACGTGTATTTATTTGAGTTGCCCTGTGCTGCCGTGCAAGCATTACAATGTTTGGTTTTGTTAACTGATTGAAATTCAACAACTATCTTTAGGGCATTTTCTAGGTATGCAATAGAATGAGTGCTTGAAGGCTGTGTGAGGTTGGTCATATGGGAAATGTATACTTCTTGATTTATGATAACTCTTGAATAAACTGTTGACCTCAAATAGCCGCACATCAAGCATAGATCTTTAGGTTATTCTACATTCAATGGTTTTAAGTGCACATAAACTAATTTAAATGCTTGGTCTGTTCTGGTTCATAAGCAAAAAAGTGTCCCAGTATGATGTTCCCTTTATTATCTGAAATAGGGATGATGCTTTGCAGTCAAACATTTTAGTTAGGTTGAACTAATTAAGTGTCTCATAATAATAATAATCCTTGCATTTGATATAGCACTTTTCACGTCTTCTAGATGTCTAAAAGCGCTTCATAGAACGTACTGTAAAGTGAATTGACTGTATGTTTGTGGGCGAAATGCTGAGGCCAATTGCACACAGCAGTATCCCACAAACAGTTGTGGATTGAGTGACCAAATTATTATTTTTTTCTTTTATTTTGTTTTCTTGAGAGATTATCAGGCATGTAGAGTAAGGGAACTTGCCCAAGGTTTCGCCTTGCCGGGAATCAAACCCAAGTTTCTCACTTGCGAGGTGAGTGCTCTAACCTCTGAGCTATAGGACTACTGGACTACAGGACTCATCAACCTTTTCTGTCATTTAATTTTTAAAAAATGTCAATGGTTCTACAAAATTGTAAGCTAGTTTGTTGTTTTTTGGAGGGGGAGAGAAGCCCTTAAATTTTAATTCTTCTGTTTCTCTTTGCGGTGATTTCCTAGTTAGAGAACAGACTGGAAACCTGCGCTCGGCTTTCTAACAATGCCATTTGTTATGCATTAATGCTGTATTTCACTTTTACTGTGAATTGCTGTTATTATGCGAGTATTTACCACAAAAGCAGCATATAAATCAGGATTGAGCACGGTAATTTCAGAGCAAAAAAAGGCTTACTCCAGAACCTTGGGACATCCTCCCAATGTGAAAGGTGCTATACAAATGTAATTTTGTATTGTACTGATGTGATAATATTGGGCAGTGACACAAGATTGTGGGTTCAGGCTCCATGTCAGGACTCTGAGCTCGAGACTCTACGCTGACACTCTTGTGCAGTGCTGGGAGAGCTCTGCATTTTCAGGATTGCATTCTTCAGATGAGATGTTAATCCAGAATGTCTGAATTCAGGTGGATGTTAAAGATCAAATGGCACTATTAGAAAAGAGAAGTGCTTCTCTTGGTGTCCTTGCCAACAATGCTCCACATTAACATTTATGGGACATTGTTCACAAATTGGCTGCCATGTTCTCCTGCAAATACAGTCACAACATACACTTCACAGAAACTTTTGAAGCAACAATAAATCGCATTTATATTACACATTTTATGTAGAGAGGACGTCTCAAGGAACTGTACAGTCGAGCTAGGGTTTGATTCGGGAGGGGTGGGGGCCAAAGCGGGTGGGAGAATAATCAAAGAGGAAAGTTTTCAAATGGACCTTGAAGGAGGTGAGGGAAGGGGAGAGGCATAGGGACTACTGGATCAAGTACCAGTGGGTGAGGGCAGAAAGGATGAAGTTCCGATCGCCGATGGTGGAGAAGGCGGGGCGGGGGATGTGAAGAGGGCCAGTGCCTGCCGAGTGGAGGGAGCGGGTAGGTTGGTAGGGTTTTACAATGTCACAGAGGTAGGGTGGAGCAACATCATGGAGCACTTCGATATGTTCTTGCCATTTTAGGAGCTATATCAAATGCAAGTGTCGTTATTGATGCATTCCAAACCTCTGCTTAACTCATTTTATGCATTCTTCCTTGTATATTAAATTCTCCCAACGATTTTTGCAATCAAATATTTAAGTGTTCACGTAGGGCTTCTATTTAGTTACACATAATATCTTGGCTATTTTTATTCTCTCTGAGTGCTAGTTGCAGAAAAGAAATTGATTAACCAAAACATTTTCCATCCTAGATCATTATCAGGAGTTGTTTTCAAATGCATCTTTTGCACTTTATGGAAATCGCCCACAAATATACGGTCAATTCACTTTACAGTCTATTCTGTGAAGCTCTTTGAGACGTCAAGAAGACGTGAAAAGCGCTTTATCAAATGCAAGGATTATTATTATTATTTATTATTATTATAAATCTGTGAAATCATAATTGAGTTGTGTGAAGAATTAAACTGTTCTGTGTAGGAGCTTAAACATAAAACTCTATTCAGTAGTAGATCCCATGCTTGTTCTTGCTGGACGAGAACTTGCTGAGTTCTTTATAGACTTGTTTATACTTTTAATCTTTCTCGTATTCTGCCTAGGGACATTGTTCCAGCTGTAAAGAGCTGAATAGTGTTGCAGCATGGGGCTATTGTTCTCTCAGTGAAGGGCCATTGGTTGTAACCGTGGTATTCTTTGTGGTTATTTTATAAATTTTCACTGCGGACCAGTTTAAAATGAAGAAAAATTCTGGCTGTCTTTTAAATTCTATTTACAACGCGATTGTTTTTAAATATGGTCTTAGAGTCAAATGTGTGCAGTGCATCAGAGACATGTTTTTACTTACAACTATGAAAATCCATAGATTTTGTCCAGTGGAAAAAAGTACGAGTTGATGACCTATAGGTTTGATATCTAGAATCAAAAATAATTTGCAGTAGTAATATTGTCTTAAATTGTGTCCATGAAAATGTGGCTTTTAACCGTAAACCTGCAAGAAGGAGTGGCAGGCAGTGCAAAATACCCTGTGCTTAGCTGGGGATGCATTTGTCAAGCTGCCTAGCCACTTGGCTTGAAGCCTGCAGGCTTTTGTAATCAAAGCATGATCACGGATCACCATGCAGTTACTATTGGGACAGCTGACTGATGCCTCTAGAAGCTGTTTGGAAGCAGCCCAGGATTGCTAATATTCAAAATGCACAAAACTGTGAGTGCTTTATTTTACATTGTAATGTAGCGCTTAGTCATTAGAAAAAAAACAGTAAGTTCTATTGTGCCTTGTAAACTGGTAGTCAAATGTAAATCTGTATTAGCTAGAAATGACTTGTTAAATGGAAAGAGTGCCAGCCATTTGCAGACTGGTTGATCAGCTGAGGTCTGGTTACAGCTGTTGAAACATTGTCAGGAGTCAAGCTTTGAATGTTGGGTATGCTCAGCACTGTGTGTTTATGTGCGCACATTTTTACATGATGATGTTTCAAACTCTCCCTTGTGGGGTTAGATGACAGCTGACTCAGAGACTAAAGTGTGATACACCAAGAAAGGGACCCTGTTCCCAGAATAAGACGGCAGTCAGCATAGATATGACGACGTATTTTGTCCTGCCATGTTGAGTGCATTAACTGTATTGGCATGCAGTATTCTGTGGGCTGGCATCAGAGGCACAAATTAGCTTTGTCAGTTTATGAATTTATTTTTTAAATCTCTTCATCTCTCCCTTTTGTTTTTACTACCACACTTTTTCACCATTGGATTATACAGTAAACAGCTCCATGGTTTATGAATTGTAGAACAGCTGCATATTGCTTTCTTTCTGCGTCATCACTGAGAATGAAGTATTTGAGGTAAACTATTCCTTTGAATTGGGCTGGTCTCCAGAAAAAATAAATGTCCATCTTGCTTTGTATGTGATTGCAAATTGTGATGTATTCTTTCAGATTTTTGTTTAAATTTTAAGGGAGTGATATGAATAAAAGTATATTTATTTTAATCTCGTGAATCGCATCGGCAAATACAGGCATGAATATTTTCTTATTAACTAAACATTATCATTTGAGGACAGTTACTCCAGCTCATGCCTGCTATGTTCAGCCACAATATGGGGGTCAAAGAGATTAGGAATTGCAGTGAATCGGTTTGAAGAGCTAGACCAATTAAGAAACCTGAGGATCAAAATGTTCCTTTGGACTGTCTGAAACCAAATATAAATGCAATCTTTTTCTGACAATGTTTACATTTTTCAGCATATTTGCCTTCAAAACATATAAAAGTGCAATTTGCCTGACATTTTTTGTCCTATTCATAGATCTATCTGAACTGAAACTTAACTATCCTGTGAAGTTGTTTATAGAAATATTTTTGGGGACAATTTCTCTTGTCCTGCACAAATCGACTAGATGAGTTTAGTTCAGCGAGTTTAGTAAGTAAAAGAAATGGTAACTAGGTTGCTTAATTCTATAAAATGTATAGATTTTAATTGTCTGCAGAAGATTTTTATTTGTAAAAATGTAAAAGACATTTTTGATTAAAGTTCTGAACAGCAATTTAAATTGACCTGACCGCTTTTGATTTCAGAAATGGAGTTAAGCGTTTTAATGATTGTGCAACTTGATTTTAAGAAATTGCTGTATTAGCTATTTAAGTATAACAGAAATTATTTACCCAGTTTTTAAAATGTATTTATTCCTAAAATAGTGCAACTCAATTGAACAATTTCCCGTTCGGCCATTCGGCCCCTCGAGCCTGCCCTGCCATTTAATAAGGATCATGGGTGATCTTCTAAGCTAATTCCATTTACCCGTTGCATGGGGAAGAAGGGTATAAAATACCCACATTAGTTTACTAGTGTATATATCTTAGTTTGCCAGTCAAAAATAAGCAAATTTATACAACCTAGAGTTTATTCAGAAAGTTGTGGGTAAGCAGCTCTGTAATTAAAATGCTTCTAAGTACAGATCTAAGGGCCAAACCAATAATGCAGCTTATGATGAAATTTATAATTAATTAATGAGGGATATCCATCCAAATTAGGAATGTGTCTACCTGTTCTGATTTATGTCTTATTTTTCTAAAACTAAAATAAGATCAATTGTTGTAGAGGGATCTAATAGTAATTGAATATTATAGAGGATATTAATATGTTTTTACCAAAAGCTAAATAAACTATAAGACCATAAGATGTAGGAGCAGGAGTAGGCCATTCGGCCCCTCAAGCCTGCCCTGCCATTTAATAAGGATCATGGATGATCGTCTAAGCTAATTCCATTTACCCGCCCTATCCCCATATCCCTTAATCCCTCTATCCTTTAGAAATCTATCAACCTCAATCTTGAATAGGTTCAAGGACTGAGCATCCACAGCCTTCTGGTGTAGAGAATTCCACAAATTCACTACCCTCTGAGTGAAGAAAAGTTTCCTCAACTCAGTTCGAAAAGGCTGACCCTTAATCTTGAGACTATGACCCCTAGTTTTAGATTCTCCAACCAGGGGAAACAGTCTCACGGCATCTACTCTGTCAAGACCCTTAAGAATCTTATAGGTTTCTATAAGATCACTTCTAATTCTTCTATATTCTAGAAAATATAGGCCTAGATTACTCAACCTATCCTCATAGGTCAACCCCCACATCCAACCTGGTGAATCTACGCTCTAAGGTGAGTATGTCCTTTCTTAAATAAGAAGACCAAAACTGTACACAATATTCTAGTTGTGGTCTCACCAAGGCCTTATTACAACTGCAGCAAGACTTCCCTACTCTTGTACACTACCGTTTTGCAACGAACGCCAACATGGTATTAGCCTTCCTAGTTGCTTGCTGTACCTGCATACTAACTTTTTGTGACTGGTGTACACCCAAATCCCTCTGAACACTAACACTACCTAGTCTCTTCCCCCTCTAGAATATAATCCACTTTTCTATTTTTACTACCTAGGTGAATAACTTCCCCATGTTATATACCATCTGCCACCTTCTTACCCATTCACCTAGCCTGTCTATTTCCCTTTGCATTCTTTGTGTGTCATCCTCACAGCTTACCCTCCCACCTATCTTCGTATCGTCCGCAAATTTAGATATGTTAAGTTTTATTTTCTTATCTAAATCATTGATATAGACAGTAAATAATTGAGGCCCAAGCATTGATCCTAGTGGCACTCCACTTGTCACATCCTGCCAATCTGAGAAGGACCCATTTATCCCTTTTATTCCTACTCTCTGTTTTCTTCCTGTTAGCCACTCTCCAATCCATGCAAACATATTTCCTATTTGCTTTTTGACCTCAGTATTTTATTTTCACTTCACACTATTTGTCACTTGAAAGTAACAAATCTAGTCGTATTTATTGTGTTGCATAACTTTGCTGTTTTCACCCAATACTGTATTTTAGTAGAAGTCACATAGGAAAATGATCAGGTGATATCAGATATAATGTTGTTATAAGAAGAGCGAAAGAAGAGTTTAGGAAAATTTGTTTTTATATAGAGATTCGTTGGGATGTGCTGCCAAGTAAGGTGGTAAAGGCAGAATCCATTGTGAGTTTCAAGAGGGAAGGAGGGAATTATAGGAAAGTCTTGAACAACAACAACTTGCATTTATAAAGCTCCCTTCATGCAAGTAGTCTTAGAGCACTTAACAGCTGCATGGCTGATGTCGAGCCGGAAAGGGAGAGGAGGTGACTGAAGGCATAGGCAAAGAAGTAGTAAGATGGAGGGATGAGGCAAGGAGTTCCGGAGATTTGGGGCATGGTATAGGATATATAGGCTCCTCCTGCACTGCTCTATAAAATTATATGATTCTAAAGGAACTAACGTACTGCCAGCATTGTGATTTGGAGAGGGGAGAGTTTTTTCTACTTGTTGGTCCATCTGGACGCTGATCTTGCTACTTCTCTCCATTGGTTCCCTTGAGTCTTTTTCTCCCTCCCCCCTTTTCCGCTTGTATACTTAACACTCACTATTATAGACCTTAATTACGGCTAAGATTTCCTCTCTACTGCCTGTCCTGGGATGGGCCCCTTCCCATCGGTATTTCTTGTATTTGTCTATAATACATAATAGTACAGATGTGTGCACACATGCACACCTAGGGTAATGTGCAATATTTCACATTTTATAACAGAATTGGCCATCAAAGCAGAGAAAGCATCATTATGATTTTATTTGAAATGTTGCAGCTAAGCTGTTCTGGACTCCTTCCAAATGAGTTGCACTTTCTCCTTTTAAGAGACTTGTGGCTTTTGGTGAACATGATTAACTATAGCTGGTTAATGGAGAAATAAATGAAATCCAATATGGCATGCCAAATCCCATGAAGACAACCACATGAAAGCCAGGGTTTTACAATAGTCAGCAGAGACTAGTAGGATCAAATGACATTCTGTCCATTTGCTTAGATTTTTTAATATCATCACATAAATATTTTGATGTTAAGACACTTTTAAAACACATACTGATATAAGACATCATACAGGTGTAAAATGTTGTTGAATTATTTGCTCTAGAGATCCAGTTGTACAATGTTGGGTTTATGCAGAGGTAACCGGAGATCTGACTTCGAGTGGCGTCTTTCCAGAGGCAACTAGTTGAACATTCATAATTGCCTCTGCAATGCAATGTAAAAGTGTGTGAATTATTTTTATTGTGTTGGAGTACTTCTTTGATTTCCCTCTAACCTGCTGCAGAGTTGATCACCACTGAAAGAATGTGAAGACATTTTAGGTGAGAAATTTCTCTCCCTTGCTATGTGTAAGAGTATTGATAGTATGTGGTTTTAATAGGAAAGCTCACACCATTGTGGAATTAGTGACAAGATGAGTAACTGTGTTTTGGAAGCTTTTGTACATTTGTGCAATCTTTCAATTCCAAAGGCCAGGAGGGGAGAGAAATTCCAATTCCAATTCACACTATTTTCATAACATTTTGAAGCCTTTTTTTTCTTTGTAAGGTCTTTTAAGATCTCAAAGTTAAAACTGAATTGAAGAACTTGCCGCATTCTGTATATTTGAGACTCATTAAGCGTTTCATTTTTACCCAGTTTTTACTGTTGATTTTTACTGTTTTTTTCCAGGATGCTTTGGTGGACGTAGTTTTAAAGACTAAAGAGGAGAAAGATGCAGAGCTTGACAAGAGAATAGAAGCTTTACGGAAAAAGAATGAAGCACTTATGAAAAGATATCAGGTACATACATATTGAACATCACATAAATATACATAGTCACCTCACTGGGAAAATAAACCACCTATAACAATTTATGTTCATTGGATGTTCATTTGTTTCACAAAGCTCTTCATTTTTGTGTGTCAGCAGCCTTCAGTCTCGACTGTTGTGTGCATGGATTTATTTCCCTATGTAAATGAATCATTTGGTAGCAAGCAGTGGAGTTCTAAGATAGTACTGAGACAATCGCTTTTGAGCGAAGCTTTTAAAAAAGGTTTAAATGAAGTTCTCTTTTTGCCTGCTCATCAGTAGTTTTATTAGGCATAATCATTTTATTGTGCCTCAGACTTGTTTCACTAGGTATTACCTCACCCAAGTTAGTTTCAGTTAACTTTTATTTGCATTTAATAACTTTTTAACATTTGGCTCAGCAGTTTCCTCCAAGGGGAAGAAAGACATTGAGGTGACACACTTCCAACAATGTCAGTGTATATAATAGAAGCCATAATATATTGAACGTGGAGTCCTGTAGCTCAGTGGTTAGAGCACTCGCCTCGCAAGAGACCTGGGTTCGATTCCCGGCAGGGCAAAACCTTGGGCAAGTTTCCTTACTCCACATGCCTGATAATAATCCCTCAAGAAAAAAAAACACAATAAAAGATTGGTCACTTCAATCCACAACTGTTTGTTGGACACTGCTGTGCGCAATTGGCTGCCGCATTTTGCCCACAAATATACAGTCAATTCATTTTACTGTATATTCTGTAAAGTGCTTTGAGACGTCTAGAAGACGTGGAAAGCACTATATCGAATGCATTGATTATTATTATTATAATAACTGACTTTTGCTCAAATGTTATATTGGTGTTTTGTGTTGTGTTTAAGATCAGCATGAGGCAGTTGCCTGTAGTTTAGCGATAGTTTGAATACCACTATGCAACAGGCGGAAGGAGCTCTAGCTGCTAAACTCTTAGCAATGCTCATCATTCTACAACTCTCAGGGTTTCAGCTGGACAGTGATCAGGAATAGGAGTTCTAGCTGACTCTCTAACCCAGGGATATTGAGGCTACTGCAGCAGTTTCTGAGGTTAGCTGATTCAGCACAGACTGAGATTTGAACTGGAAACCATCTGATCAGTATGGCTTATTGTTGCACTGACCCATTAGGCTGTCGGGTTCATGAAATTATTTAGGTTACTTTTTGAACCTTTTCCTACCTGTTCTTAATAGTGATGTTGAACTTAGTAATAGTCTTTTTATGATCTTAATGGATTAACACAAATTTGACTTGTTCTTGTTTCTACCTAATGAGCATAATATTACCTTAATGCAGGAAATAGAAGAAGACAAGAAAAGGGCAGAATTGGAAGGAATGGCTATCACCACTCGTAAAAACAAGCCTGAGACTCTAACCATCACAATTACAAAAGCCCCAAATGTAAGTTTTTTTTATAATATGCTCAAAAGATGCATAAAAAAGATGTAAGGCTAGCTCAGTTGACAGCACTTAGAGACAAGAGGGCTACCACTGCGCCAGGCTGAAACACAGACCATTAAGCCAAACGATCTGCCAATTGACTAACAACCAGCTTCCGACTTACGACTGGGTAAACAGAGGTATTTTGAGTAAGGAAACCTGCCTAAGGTTTCCCTCCTTCCCCCCACCCCGCCTAGGAATCAAGTATAAGGACTGAGCCTGCATTGGTTTCTTTCCTTCTGTTCTTTTTTCTCCATTTCAACAACATTACTGACCAAGAGGCTGGAACGATTAACCTGAACAAAATATTGAAGTCATCTATCCAGTAGTAATTACAAATAACTCTGTCCCTGCCCGAGGGATAGACACACTGTTCTCGATTTCTCAGAAACCCTCCTTCTTGAATTATAGAATATTTATAAAGCAGCTTCCAACCCAGTCTGACAGGAGCTGTGAGTCTTGACCTGGTCAAGGTAGAAAACTAGAGATTTATCATACCTCCTTTGATCTTCTTGCACACTATCTCCTGATGACTTGGCAGTAATGTTAGCTCGTCAACCTAAGGCCCTGTACCAGGTTCTAATCCTGCATCACCGAATTACAAATTCTAATGACTAGATTCTTGGGTTACCTCAGGGGGGAAAAGTAGGGTGGGTGTTCTGGAGAGATTAGGTTGGATGCCTTCATCCAGACCAATCTCATGCAATCTGCTTTTCCACAGTTTTTAAAAAGAATGAATTTCCAATTTAAGCTGAGTTGAAGAATCTTGAAGAATCTTTCTTCAACTGGGTAATCTTAAATTTGAAGACAAAATCCTCTTACAGGCTAGGTTGGAATATTATGCTTCCCTCTGATCGTACTAAAAATGGTCGCTTAGTGTGGTCATGAACGTATGGGGCTTTGTATTCCTTCATATCAACATTTCTGCTCCCCTCCTTTGAAGAGCTGAAAAGGAATTCAGAACAAGGACTGGAGCAGGGTAAATTATGCAGCTTTTTAATGGTTCTACAAATGTAACTCTTAAAAGGGCAATGATTTCTCCCATTCAAATAATGACCCTAATCCCAGTCCTTTAAGGGAGTGAATGGTATTCAAACAATGATGAAAACTACTCACACGTAAGTTATTTGCTTTGCATATTACATAAATTATATACGTTTTTGCATATTTTTCTGGGATTATATTTTTTTAAAAAAGGTGATTATATTGCCTGATTTTGTCCACAAAATACACAGTCAATCCACTTTACGGAATATCCTGTGAAGAGCTTTGAGATGTCTCAATGAAATGATAAATCAATATATCAAATGCAAGAATTATTACTATTTATGTGCTGTTTATTTGGCATTTTTAGGAGAAGAGAGTGGTAAGTGAAAAACGGGGAGTTGGAAGACCCAGCAGTCTGAAAGGGTTTGAAGTAGATGATGTTGGCCAACGATTCTCCATAGGAAGGGGACACAGGCTTCGTAAATTTGTTGTGGAGGAAAGCAAGGCAAAGGTGGGTTACATAAAATGGAATTTTCTTGTACAGCTTATTTTACAGGGTGGAAATTGCCAGTTTTTAACTGAAGTCAGATCTTGTGCAGCAAAATTGTACAGTTTTTTTATGAAAGACGGTTGCTTATCAGCAACTTGCATTTCTAAAAGAAAATGCTGTTATGAGGATGTGGCGGAAGGTGATTGTATTGATATTTCTATCTTTGAAAACGACTGGAGAGAAATGATTGTGCATCTTACCGTGTACAGGGCAGCATTCCTTCCCTGCCCTCTTGTGCCCCTTTTCTATAAAATGCATAGGTTGTAAAATCCTGCTGCTTAGCTTGTATTTCTCTCACTGGATATAGCAATTGGTTGGTGCAAAAAAAGAAAACAAAAATAGTCAATGGTAAATTTTTAAACTTTTCAGTATTCTAAAAGGAAGTGGAGGTCTTATTTGGCAATAGGAGTAAGGATTCTTCAGCTCATGTAACCCTTCAACTATGTGGCAAATATTCTAGCCACTTTGCCTCAAATCTGTGGAACTCCCTGCTTCAATCCCTCCAGGCTGATGCTCCAATATAGGACTGTGGTTCATTGCTGAATTCCGTGGGATGAGATGTTAAACCGAGATTCTGTTTGCCTATTGAGGTGGACATTAAAGATTCTGTGGCAGTATTCAAAAAGAGAAGGAAGTTTCTTTCAGTGTCCTGCCAACAATTCCCAAGATAAATTTGGTAATTTACTTCATGGCTGTTTGTTGTGGGACATTGCTCGGTGTAAATTGTCTGCCATATTCACCTACAAGAAAAGTACACATTCACTACGCTTCTCAGTAAATTCTGTGAAACGTTTTGATACATCCTCCCGACATTTTGATACATCCTCCCAGCCTTATTTCAAATGCATGGATTAAATATATTTTTCAATTTTTGCTTGGGAATTTAACCAGGATTTTGGTCCCTTTTGAACCTTTTGGGATGGTTTGGGATTTTCATTTTAAAACCATTATTCTTCTAGCTCTTGTGTTTGCATAACTTGCAAACCTAGAATAAATACATTGCAAATGAAGAACAAAGCCATTTTATTATGCTCATAAATTTCACAGTATAATTTGTGATGAGTTGTTGAACTCAGTGGATTAGTAGTTTTATTTTTTGTGATGACAACAGGATAGTTCTTGGGCCAGATTCTTGATTTGTTTTTCTCCCTCAAATTTCTTGAGTTTCAGTTTCCTGATGAATACAGGACTCATGATGTATCTTCCTTCACATAGATCTAAAGAAACAAAATGTCACACAATTAACCTCATTTAGCTTTACAATACAAGGATGAAAGGCTTTTGATTTTCTCTATAACTGAATGTTTTCATTTAGAAAAGACCTCAGGCAGACTCATCACTTCGTTCTACCTGGTCTGGCCTGCTCCTCATCCCCAGAGTCCTCCGCTCCACCCTTGGCGGTCATGCTTTCATGCCCCGAGGCTCTGGAACTCCCTTCCTCTCTCCCTTCGCCTCGCCCCTTCTCTTCCTATTTTCAGGTCTCGACTGAAGACCTTTCTTTTTGACCGCGCCTTTGGTCACCTTCCCCCTGACTTGGCCCCGGGATCCATTACTGTGAAGCACTCTGAGATGTCCGGCGTGGAGGGCGCTATATAAATCCAAGTTGTTGTTGTTGTTGCTCCGCCACATTTGGACCTTTTTTTTTCCCTTCCTTATATGTATTGTTCCTTTTCTAGTTGGGACTGTGATAATACTCTATTCCTGCCCATTTGTCATTGGAGATATTTTCTTGTTCTAGCCCATTCCTAATTATTATTCTTTTACAGAAAACAATTGAACATGCAAATTCTACAGTCTGCCATCAATTGTGATACACGGTACCCATATTCTGCCCAGTTCAACTAATTAGCAGCAGAACCGGCTATCAGATGTGGAATTGAACCTGAGTAGATCTTCCCCACTGTGTCTGTAATACACACAAGACATTTAGATAACACAGTTATAACAGTCTATTTGGTAACTGGGTGTTTTTGAGGTTCTCTGTGAGGCAACTCCTGGAGATGAATTTCTGTGCGTTTGTAATGACTATGAATGTTCGTTGAAACATTAAGGTGCTGCCAATTGATACTTTATTCCTAGCCAGGCTCAGCACTGTCAACATTCACCAAAGAAGGAGGCTATTGGTGTTATTTTTTGGAATGTTCTGAAGGACTTTATTAATTAAAAAAAAGATAACTAGATAATGTGTGGAACACTGCAAAGTTCAAGAGAAATGACCTGCTAAATGCCAATTTTGGAGAAGAAAGACAACCTACCAGTGCATTTTTGCAGACGTTAGTGTGCAAGAAACAAGAAATTGTTTTTGCCTTATATAGTAATGTCAGCACAGCAGGCTGAAGCATCTGCAGCTGGCTGGCTGCCAGGGTCTGGAAAGTAGCAGCCAATTTGATCTCTGGCATTGAGAGATGGCAGCATTGCACTGCTTTGTAATTATTGTAAAACTAATGCATTACAGGATCACATTCTGCCCCAACTGCAATCAATCACTATTATGTTGATGGAAAGGGTGAGCTCTATAACTTGTGGAAATATTTAAACTTTTGCATTTATATATTGCACAGTTCATTGTTTATCTGGCGAAGACATTATTTTCAAATACAGGTATTTAAAAAATAGATAAAAAATATAGCAGTATGTACAGAAATAACTGACCACACTCATCATGAAATTCTCACTTAAGCTTTTTATTTTTTAATAGACTGGCGCACATCATGTCCTTCCATTATAATCTAGAGAAACCTGCAGTGAGTGATCTGAGACACTACCTTATGTGGAGGGTGCTATATAAGTGCAAGTTGTTGTTGCTGATCGATGTTGGTCTTTTCTGTCTGATTTACACACAAAAATAATTGAAAAGAAATGGCGAAAACGAGTTTCTAAATTTAAGAATCTTTCCAAATTTTGCAGAATCCTAAGCTTTAAGGTGGTGTTTTGACAAAACACTGGCTTCCAGGCCTCTGAAATGGCATTAGAATAAGAATACCACCTGTAAGGCACCAGATTTGAAATATGTGATTTGCTGGAATCTTTTCTCCATTTTTGCCAAATTAATAAAAAAGCAGTATAGGCCACCACTAAGCATGCCCTGTGTGCTTGGTGTGGGTGATGTATAGTTGTGTACAACTTTGAGATTCCTCCAATGACAGTTGGTAGAGATGTATCTTATCCTCTGTGTCAGAGGGCAAAATTGTTGAGCTAATGTGGGAAACAGGAATCATTTAGTACCTTTCTTGACTGTTGCAGAGCACCCTCTGCTAACTTGATAAAAGTTCTGGAGAGGGTTGCATTTCTGCAGTCTATTAGTAGCTATCCTGAGGAATCCTAGAGAAGTAGTTAATTGGTAGTTCCTGATTGACAAGAACCTATGGCTGGAGGGTTCTCTTCAGTCAATATTTCCATCTAATTGTTGAACATTGTTTTGGTTTCTCGAGCCATTGAAGATATAAAAAAACTTCTAATTATGCAGACCAAGGAACCCCGTTTGACTTTCCCCTTCCCTTGCTGCCAGATGGGCTCTTGAAAAAATCTGGTTTGGAAGAGAATATTCTTTGTGACCTGACATCTAAATATGGCCACTCTGGAGATTTTTTGACTGTGTTTGGAGATTTTTCTCTGATTCTGACCAGGTGAAATTTATTTTCAGTGATAGGACAGAAAATGCTGGAAATGCGCAGTAGATCAAATTACCATTAGACATCGAACGATAGGTCAAACCTTTCACATGTGAATAAACTGGAGAACACTCTTTACAGGACTGAGGAAAGCAAGTAGGGTCAAGCCAAGAAAACAGACAAGAACAAGTCAAACATTTAAATCCAAAAATGAGAATACACAGACGCAGATAATGGATTTAGGTCAAATTGGGAAATTCTGGAATGAGATGTTAAAGATGTTGTATATTGCTTGATTCGTGGAGGTTGAAGGTGTTTCCTGCAGCAACTCTATTGTTATACAAAATGCTACTACTGCAAGAAGAATCACCTCTCAGGCATTTTGACCCTTCAGAAGCAGCGGAGACAGTCCAAAACCAATATAAAGTGTACAATAAACTATTGAATTTCTAATGACTTCATATAAATGCTCAGATCGGATTTCACTTGTGGTTAAAGATGATGATTGTCTTTGAATTCAATTGAATTTAGCTTGTTAGGACTATATTCTTAATTTTGCTTTAATTTACACAAATCAATTTTTCCCAAAACTGTTCAGATGACCTGTCCTGGGTCCCATGATGTCTGCAGAGCAGCTGAAAATATTGCTGTCCAGTTGAAATAAGATATGCAAATTGGGAACTAATTAGTGCTTTTCACTGTCTTGTTGTTGGTACACAGAACAAAGAAACCATTTGTCTAGCTTTTGATGGACATGTATTCATTTTATAGCAGCTGTTAAGTGGGAGTCTCTGTTAATTTGTTTTTTCTGTGCTCCACTAATCAGGCTAGTGGAGACCCCATGATAATTGGGTAGCAGCTTGTTCCAAGCTTCGAATCACTACAGCTAAAATATTAGAATGGAATCTATAATTTATGAAGATACAGTACCCTATCCTTAAGGTTGCCTACAAATCAACGTGCAATGCAATTTTGTGGAAATGTAATGTCATTTCAGTTAGTGAACTACTTGGTTTGAAGGACTTTATGTAGACTACCGTACGGTGCCTGATAATGTTTCATATTTATACAAATGTTTCTCATGTAAAACATAAGCAGAGACCTTGAGTATTGTTGTGTTTTCCATACATGAAATGCTTATAGTGATACATCCAGCATCCATTTGTGTTTCTTTACCCATTTAAAACTTCTGTTGTAGCTTTCACCTGGGTTGAATGCCTGAAAGCATTTCAAAACTACTTTATAATGTGGAGGAACAAACATAGAGATCTAGATTGTTGCATCAGTGTCTATGGAAATTTATAGAATGATGGATTACATATGGCTTGAATGTAATTGGTGAAAGCTTTTTGTTGATGCACTGAAATCAGAGTGGACATGTGTCAGACAGCCGGGTGATTAAAACAAAAGGTGCATGATCGTTGGGTCGTTTCTTCTGTATTCACTGTATGCACCAACACAAACAGTGCCCATTGAGGGCTGTGGGAAATGGCCAAGACACGAAAGATTGATCAGTTGAACATAATGCCACCTTATCTATGTTTGATGCCTGTTGGAGTAGGTCATATGCTTATTAATTCTTTTTTTTAATATCAAGGAATGGGAGGAAAGGAGAAAACACAATATTGAAAAGATGAATGAAGAAATGGAGGAAATAGCAGAATATGAGCGCAGCAGAAGGGTAAGATAAACCTATTCAACTTGTTTCCCTTTATTTTGTTTTCTATTTTATGCAAAAAATGCATAGTAACAGTTAATTGATAAAACGTCCAAGTAAGAACTGACTGAACCTACTGCACATTTAAGCATTTATGACGGCAGTACAGCAGTGGTTGTAATTTGCTTGCAACACATCTTCAATTTGTCAATAAAGACCCCACCTGGTTCCCGGCTGACCAGATGTGAGCTAGTCCTTACACTGGCTGGCAAGCATATTTCTCAAGTTTTTTTCTTAACTAAAAAGTTGATAAAATTTGCAATAACTTAAAAGTAGGATTTACATATTGTTGGATCTAATCCATTTACATTTTGTTACTTGTTACATTTTGTTACAAACTCTTACCTTCACATTTTAAATCTAAGTAGAGTGTTCTGGTCAGGTTTGTGCTGTGTGGGTTTACTGGTTGAAGACTGGGCTATTTCCCCCTCTTCCCACCCCCTACCCCCCAAACGATTTAGGTTTTGGGAGAGAGCATTTGGTTGCGCTGGATTGCATTGACTGGTTAATAAACTTGTATAATCTGGAGGACTGTACATCAGCTTTTAGCATTAAGTTGTGTTTTATTACACGAGGGCTAAAGCTCTACATTCCATGGTTTATCCATCTGCTACGTATGAGGAAGATATTATGAAGATGTGAGTGTATATACATAAAGTGCTGTACATTAGTTTATTTTACCGGATACAGTGACTAAAAGTAGGAGTTGATACATTGTAATGAAAGCCCTCCTTTGCCCAAAATATCTAGTGCAATCGGAAATAGTCTGACTATTTGCAAATTTCAACACCTACAACTTGCTTTTGAATATTTAATTTAGTAAATTTTGAGTGTGTGTGATATACACATGTACATACACACATAATGTATATATACAGAGGAAGTTGTACCTTGGAACTCTCAAACAAGGTTGAAACCAACCTCAAACAGGTAGGAGGGTAAATGTGCATGTCTGACAAAATGAAGATGTTTAGAAATCTCAATCTCTATTATTAAAACTATAGTTTTTCAACATAAATCTGAAAAATTTATGAGTTTTTTGTCATCAATACCCGATTTCTTTGATGTTTACCCCTTGGTGAATGCATCTGTAGATACAAGATAAACTTCCAAACGTTTCTCAGTTGTGTGTAGCAAATGTTGTCAGTGGTAGTCGTGTTGTATTATGCCGTATTATATCGCAGATTCTGATATTATTGACTCACAATATTATATCAGGATCAGACATCAACTTGTTAATTTTGCAGTCAAAGATCTGTTGAATAAAATTTAAATCCAACCTTTAGTCCTGACCTTCAGAATAAGGCACTAATTTGATTCGCATATTTTTCAACTTCTGATAAGATTTTACTGACGTATTTAGCACTTCCATTATACTTACGTATTACTGCATTTTAAGTCACCTTGCTGTATCTAAGCATGTTTCTGGCAGTGAAATTATTTTAAACTGTTCATCACTTCAGAGTGATGTTCAGTTGACTGTTCTTTGGCTACAAAGTGTCTGCCTCAGAGGTTCTATTATCTGCCAACACAATCTATAATCACTCTCAGACTAAAATGATATTGCACCATCATAAAATCTCAAGAAACCAGCTGAGTTTGCATATACCTTTTGTATTGGGTGAAGAAAAATCGTATTGTGTTTTATGTGTTATGCACTGTCAGCTGTTCGCAACATGCCAGAAATCCAAATACTGATAAATATTTTGTGTTCAGTTTGTGTGAATCATGTGATTAATCTGCAACTGATGATGGTACATGTGGTATCGACTTTTATGCAACATCTTTATTGTACTGACTGTGAGTAAATATATCGATGAACCATTTGTTGTAGTTAATAGAAAAGCCTTCACATCCAGATGCTAAGAATATTAAGCAACGGCTGTGGGAGTTTTGCTGAACAATTAAGTCACTGGGGTATTGGTGCATCTGTAGAGATGATCAAAACGAGCAATTATTTGTTTCTGTAATTAATAACTTTTTGCTGCATCACCTGAGGCCTACACTTAAAATATAAGATTGGTAATGCTGAGTAGGTGAAGTGTGAGTTCCCTGCAGACAGCATCATTGTGATGACTCAGTGTCAGTCAGCAGCAAGCTGTACTTCCTATTTGGTATTGCAGTCAAATACAGCACTTGATAGGAAGTACAGTGAAGATGAGTGGCATTAATTCTGAGTCAGTTTTTTCCCCGGTTCACAAGTGGCAAGCAGAAGCAGAATTGTTGAAAAGATTGGATCATTTGATTCCTGCTGTCCAATATAACTATTAATATAGACCATTTAAAATGAGTAAGGGTGTCAGCCTGGCTCAGTGATAGCACTCTCGCCTCTGAATCAAAAGGTTGTGGGTTCAAGCCCAATGTCGGGACATGGAATCACATAGCCTAAGCTGACACTCCAGTGCAGTGCTAGCATGTGTTGCATTATTGGTGGATAAGACGTTAAACCAAGGTCCCGTCTGCCTTTTCAGGTGGACGTTAAAGATTCCATGGCACTATTCGAAAAGAGAAGAGAGCTTCTCCGAGTGTCCTGGCCAACAAATCCCCCAAATAAAATTGGGCACTCACCCCATGGTTGTTTGTGGGATATTGCTGTGAGCAACTGCGGGCAAATTTTATCCACAAAATACACAATATATCCTGTGAAGCGCTTTGAGACATCTCAATGACCTGATAACGTGCTATTTCAAATGCAAGGATTCTTATTAACACCCAACTTTTTGGTTGATTTAATTTTGTTCTGGGAATCAAGAGAATTGTTTCATTGCTTCTCATAAGATTGAGATTTGTTTAGAAACCAAACTTGCTAACCAGCTAATTAACGTAATAGTGATATTGCAAGAGCTGTTCCTACACTGTTTTTCTGATATTTTACTTCATTGGCAGTAAAGATGCTGATCTGTATTTGTATTTGCTGATTTGTGCTCCATGTAGAAATATTGCTAGGCAGTGGCAGATATATGAGCTGGTAGCATAGTAATGATTTGAAACAGAACATGTTATAATGGAGTCAGGTGTTAAAGTGCTAAGCACCCTTTTACCAACAAAACATTTCTCCTGATTCTTCTCCCACACTCATGCGTAATTTGCCTCAAGTTCCTGCAACCGGTGTCAGTCTGGCTCAGCCGGTAGCACTCTCTCCTCGGAGTCAGAGGATGTGGGGGGGTTCAAGCCCCATGTCAGACTTTGAGCTTGGATAGTCTAAGCTGATACTCCATCGCAGTGCAAGGGTTGTGCTACATTGTTGGCGGTGCTTTCCTTCAGACAAGATGTTAAATCAAGGTTTTGTCTTCCTGTTCATGTGGACATTAAAGATTCTGTGGCATTATGTGAAAAGAGTAGGGAGTTTCTCCTGGTGTCCTGGCTAAACTAAAGTTGGTCACTCACTCCATAGCTATTTGTTGGATGTTGCTGTCAGCAAACGAGCCATCCCGTTTCGCCCACAAAATACACAGTCAGTCTACTTTACAATATATCTTGTGAAGCGTTTTAAGAAGTCTCGATGACATGATAAGGCGCTATATCAAATGCAAGTATTATTATTAATTATTCAAAGCAACCACTTTAGGTTTATGTAGGAAGTGGTAGATACTGGAACGAAGGTGAGAAATTAAAAAAAATTACCTGACAAGGACATCTTCATTCTTCCGCATCTGGGTTAGCCTGGTTTAGTTGATAGCACTCTTACCTTGAGTCCTTCGGTTATGGGTTCAAAGCCCCTCGTGGGCTGGAGGAGTGCTGTATTGTCGGACATGCTATCTTTAGAATCCAGTTAAACTGAAGTGGTTAACCTGTTAAGATCTCATAGTACTAATTGAAAATAGAAGTGAATTTCTCAGGTAACCTTGTCAATAATCTCCCAGATAAAATTGGTCATTCATTTCATAACCATTTATGAGACCGTGATGTGCGCAAATTGACTGCTGCGTTTGCCTACAAAATACACAATCATTACACTTTACATAAAATTCTTTGAAGCGCTTTGCGATGTCCTCTTGACATGTGGACAGATGCTACATCAAATGCAACGATTATTACTTTTATCTCGTACACAACCCAAGATTTTACCCACCCAGACTTTCAATTCTTTAGGGACAAGAAGATTCAATTTTGAATAAAATGTTTTGTTCATATTGCGTGTACAATCTCCATGCTCTGCCTCTGTCAAAAAGAATTACTTTACTTCCCAAGAGAGATGCCTTTCATAAAGTGCTTAAGGAAAAAGTCACAAAGATGTCCCAACGAATTCAGAAATATCTTAATAGGTCTGCATCTTTGTGATTTCACCTTAGTCACTGTACTATATTTTTTTACGGGTTCCTTCTCAACATTTTTCTGTTCTCTTACTCTCTTTATTCCTGCTTTTTATTTCAGGCCAAGAATGTAAGATTAACAAAAAGTAAATGGCCATTCATTTAGAGAAGAGTGTGGGCTGATGTTTTACCATGTGCCAGAACCCTCCTTTTACAAAACCTTGGTAGCAGAAAGAGCTGCTAACCCAGTTATACTTGCCCAATCTTTTCATCCTACAAGATGTGTAGTTCTTTGATACACCGAGCAGAAGATATACTAATTCTCTTTAAATCTTTAAATGAAGTTCTCCGTGAGCTAACGTTCTCAGTCTCCTTTCAAGACCTTAGCTAAAGGAAAACAATGAAGAATGCCGAGGCTATGAGTGCTCGAGGATGCTACAAAATACATATTGTATGCAATGGAATTTTGTGTCTGACATGGATTTACTGGGGTGAGCGCATTCCCTTCACTTATGCTCACAAGAGACTTGCTGGGTTAAGAATTTGACACAATGTGGACGAGGACGTAATGTGGGAGAATGGGGACTACTTCACCACTGGTGAGTAATCTGCCTTTTTTTTAGGAAGGAAAAGTTGACAAGAATCCAGTTAGAAATTTCTTGGATGACCGTCGGCGTTCAGGGCCCTTGCCAGAGGGGGATAAGCACGTGGCCAGTCGACGTCATGTTCGCAACTGGGGTGGTCCTGACTTTGAGATGGTAAAGTCTGGGATAGAAAAGAAGCACTGGGGAAAAGGGTCTCAGGTAAGTTCCAGTGGCTGCATGAAGTGTTTCTGAGGCAGGGTTTCTAGAGATTTCATACATAAATATTTCTTACCTTTTTCCAGTCTTCATTAATGACATTTATGAGCCAATAATATGGAACATTGGAAGGAAAACTGAAGTGGCATGATGATTGCCTAAGAGGATCTGAATTTGTGTAATTGTTACAATTGGCAAATTTTCACTTGTTTATTTACAACAAAATAACACTGGTTACATTTGTCCAGTTTTTCTCTTGAGGGTAGAACACTAATGTTCTGGTGCTTCCCTTAGATTTCCATCTTTTATTCTATCTGGCATTTGTCTTTTATTTATCCATCATTTTTTTCTCCGCTCTCCACCTTGGTATTATGGTAATGTGGGATCATTAGTACTTTATCACAATGGGTTATACACTCTGACTTCTGCCAGGGAGATTATTCTAGTAATAACTCTCCATGCGGTAGAAGTGCATTACTGAACTTTATTTATTCCAGAACAAGCATTAGTATGCACTGGACTAATAATAGATTTTACAATTCTGTGTCATTTATTTGAGCTTTGAACTCCTTGAATCAAATATAAGGACTTGCTGGAGTAAGAATTTAATATTTAATGTGGAGTAGAACATCATGGGGGGAAATGTGGATGCTACGGTGTAGATGAGGTGCTCTCAATATTAACACACAAAAATAGTTCTTTCTTCCCACCCCAATAAAAATTACACCTGCATCTTTCAAAATATTTTGGAAGAGAAAGACCTGAAATTCTGCCAAAGCATAACTAAAAAGAGAATTTATGCGTGATGGTCTTGCTTCCTAAATACATCAGTGTTATTCTGAGAAAATGTGAAAAAAGTATAGTTTGACAATTAAATGGAGTACTTACTTTCCTGTATGCATATCGCTTTAGCTGAATACTGGTTCAAGCCTAAATCATCACTATAGTTAATAAAATGGAAAACAGTTGTCTGTACTTCTCAAATAAACTCATCTTTTCATTCTCAGAAGAATGAACTGTGCAGTTGTGTGTTGTTGTATACTGATTATCATGTTTTCTGAGGAAAAGCACATTGTAGGATCTATCAAGTTTGTTTGTATAAAGAGAGTTTAAATAATAAAGATAAATATTATTTAAAATATTAGCAATACTTGTTACTAACTCACTGAATAAAGTAGGAATTTTAATTACTTTTTTCGTTTTCCTCTACACAGTTTGGATACGTTGGCTAGTTTGATGGAAAATCATATCTGTCCTCGTGAAAGGTTTTAATTTCTTCAGCACATTGTTTATATAATACCCGTGTGGTTAATATCAACTTTATTTATCCAGTTTTGTGCACTTGACCCATAAATGAGAACTGTTTTGAGATGGTGCCATTTGAATTGTACATTGTGTGGTGATGAATAATATTACAATTATTTTTTATTTAAAAGATTTCTGTACTAATTGATCATGATTCGTGCCTTCCACATTATATGGTATGGTTCTGATAAATATTTCAAGGAAGATCTAAAAGAGAAGACAGTCACAGCAGTTTTGTGAGCTGATGGTGTTTTGGATGAATAACGATTGTTTCTTTTGAAAATAGGTCTAACAAGAATATCAGCTTCAAAACGGAGCCACAAATGTAGCATCAGATTTTAGTTCACTTACTTGATTCTAAACATAGCAGCACAGATAGTATATTCTTGCCATTATTGGTCGACTGCAGGAGATTGCAAATTGTCTCCATAGATCCCTTTTGGATAGTGACATCTCGTATTATCTGATAATGTATGACAGCATTGGGGGCATAAGATCTGCTATGGAAATCTCTTGCATATTGTATTAGTTCAATGTAAAACAGTCCTTGTAGACAAGTGTATGGAATGAAAAAAATCATGAATATGAAAAATCATTCTGCTCAAAACTCCAGAATGGTGCCATTCATCATGAAATTAAAAGTTATCTAAAGTTTTGCAAGGAAGGATGATTGAGGCCAGAACACTCAATTCATTTAAAACACAATTTTGTGCTGTAAGAGAAAGACTAGGTTGGAAAGATGATATCAAATGGGCTGAATTGTCTTCATCCAACCCAGTCTTGTGAAGTGCTGGATACCTTACCAAAGTGAGAAACTTTTGAGGTGCAAATTGTGTGTAGAAGAAGTTTGTTTTTAAAAATAGCCATTTGAACATAGTGCATTTAAATGGCATAAACTTGTGTATTACGATAAAACTAACTGGTTGAACTTTCAAATTAGTTCATTACTCCTTCCTACTAGAATAGGGATGATGGGTTGAAACAGTGTTCCGGAATAGCTGATAAGCAAGGGATATGTCTGACTAGAAAGAATGAGTGGAAAATCATATTTATGCTTGTGTGGGTTTCAAAAACAGAATAACTGATTGTTTAGCATAGGTGACAGCATTGTGTTGTATTGAGAAAATAGAATGTGCTCATGGTGAACCTTCGAATAAGCTTTACTTATTGCGTCTGTGTAATACCTTAGGAATTCCATTTTCTTCCTCCGCTGGTATGCTATTTATGCTCATTAATGAGATACCTCACCTCGCCATTGTGTGCATTGGCTCCCCATGGCTACAGAGATGCTTCTCGCTGAGAGTGGAATTTCAGATAGAATAATATTTAGCTAGCAGTGAGATAGATAACTAAGTATAGCAGTAATGGAATATGGGGCACTCATGACTTGATAAGGTGTAAAAACAGCCCACATCGTTCATGCTATGTATAAAGCATTCTTTAGTGCACGGTTCTCAGTGTTTACATACTGGTAAACAATTGTTGGAAGAACCTTTCAGAAGTAAAGGTTATGTTGCTACAAGGAAATCCTATTCATATTTTTATGGTGGATCAAAAGGTAAACTGTGATATATCTGTAAACTTGAGGTGCCGTTTCAGGGCTAGAATTTTTGTTAACACGTTAGTGAATGTAATACAGTATATTATGCCGATTGGGTTGCAATGTGTTTAGTTTGGGACTACAATGTTTCTGTCCACCTTATAAAATGAATCACCTCAAGGCTGGACTATGGGAACTCTCTCCTCGCGGCCTTCCCGGCACCTCCCTCCACAAGCTGCAGGTCATTCAGAACTCTGCAGCTCGTGTACTGTCCCGCACCAGGCTTCGGGACCACATCACTCCCACCCTCGCTCGCCTCCACTGGCTCCCCATCCCCCAGAGGATCGAATTCAAAATCCTCATCCTCACCTACAAGGCCATCCACGGCCTTGCTCCCTCCTACCTCTCCGACCTACTCTCCCCCTACCTACCCGCCCGTACCCTCCGTTCCTCAGGCTCCGCTCTGCTCCACATCCCCCGCCCCAACCGCCCTACCATCGCTGGCCGGGCCTTCAGCCTCTCAGCCCCGAGGCTCTGGAACTCTATTCCCCAGTGCCTTCGCCGCCTCCTCCCTTTCCTCCTTCAAGGCCGGTCTCAAGACCATTCTCTTTGACCGTGCCTTCAGCTCCCTCTCGACTCTCTACCCCCTCCTCGCTCCCTCCCTTCCCTCCCCTCACCCTGACTATCTCCCCCCCAAGGCTCGGGTCCTGACCCAACTGTCCAGTGCCTTGGGACGTCCTCCGGACGTGAAAGGCGCTCTATAAATGGAATCTTGTTGTTGTTGTTGAATCAATTATTGAACATTGGTTAGAAACTGAAACAATTGAGTTTGAGAAAGATTAAAAGGTTAATTTTGAACATGGCACAAGTTACAATAGTAACTTATTGGCAGCATGTATATACAGTATTAATTGCTCAAAGAACACTATCTTTAAATGAATGCTGCATTTGAAAAAGAATACTTTTTATCCAACTATATTGCCTTCAGTGTATCAATTGGAATTGGTTTTACTGTTACATTCATCTTTTTGTGAAATAAAGTGTGTTTTCCAAGACAGTAAAACTCGCATGAGTCTTACCTTTGTAAATCGTATAATTGCCTAAGTCCTACATTCACTCGAGTCCCATTCAGTTTCCTATCAAAACCACTTAGATTTCTTTGTGCTACTCGTATTAAACACCTCCTGACTCGTAACTCCGCTATTACTCCATTACTCCTGCACTTACCGGCTGTTAAATTGCAGGTCCTGACCCTTTGATGCATTCACGTTTACCGACCAGCTACATTGAATCATGGAAAACATAATCTACACAGCACGTGCTAAGTTAATTTAGCAAGTAAGTGCGAATGCGATGGTTCGTTACTGCAGCCGGTAAGTGCACATGTAGCAACAGGTCAAGACGCATCGAATCACAGAAATGTAGTCTTGACCCATAACCGCATGTACACTTACTGGCTGTAGGGACAGAACTATTGCATGCGCACTTACCTGTTAAGTTAAATTCCACGTGCGCTGTGTAGATTATTGATTAAATCGGATTTTCTACGATTTATACAATTTGCCCGAAACTCTGACTTCACGTATTAAATGTTATGGTCCCGACTGATATGACATATGAATTTTACTATATTCAAAATGTGAATTTCTTTATATAACAGCTGGAGAAATGGAGATAACCCAAAATATTTTTACATTTTAGAATATTTTTGTGGAGTCCTGTAACTCAGTGGTTAGAGCACTCGCTTTGCAAGCGAGAGACCCGAGTTCAATTCCAGGCAGGTCAGGGCGAAACCTTGGCCAAGTTTCCTTACTCCACACAGAGCCTAATAGTAATCCCTCCAAAACCCAATTTTCATTTTCAATCTACGACTGTTTGTGGGACATTGCTGTGCGCAATTGGCTGCCGCGTTCGCCCACAAATATACAGTCAATTCACTTTACAGTGTGTTCTGTGAAGCGCTTTGGGACGTCCTCCCGACGTGAAAAGCGCTATATCAATTACAAGGATTATTATTATTATTTCAAAATGATTTAATCAGAAAGCAATTTTTTTCATTTTGTTGTAAAAATAGTTTACAATCTATTTTTACCGCTTCAGGAGGGTGGAAAACATGCCAATAAAAGCACTGTGGACATGACACTATCGATGACTGGACGAGAGAGAGCAGAATATGCCCGCTGGAAGAAAGAGAGAGACCAAATAGATCAGGAGCGGCTGGCACGACACAAGAATTCCAAAGGAGAGTGGAAAAGAGCCTGGGATGCCAACAAATCTGAGGACATGTACATGTATTCTTTTTTATGTGCAGTGTTTAACATGCTCATCTTGCATTTCTCCTAAATATTTGGCATTTTTTTCAAAAGCAGTTGAGTTCTATTAAAATTAACTTAGCACACCACAGCTAGATTTTCATTTCTATTCTTTGGCTACTGGCAACTATGTTGATTAATTGGCAATCTCTTCCTGCTTTACTATAGAAAGATACATTAGGTGAGGCAGCCATGTCAAATATCACTCCAACTTTAATTATTTTTAATACTAGACCAGATTTTTTAATGTTTTGGAAAGTTGGAATTCTTATAAAAATGGATACAAAAAGAGTTTTGATGCTAAGCATCAGAGAACCAAGTTAGTATGTATAGATTGGACTCAGTAGAAATGGAAGTTTTGGTAAACATAAAGACACAAAATATAAAAAGGGAGAATAGGAACGTAAAAGGAGACACAACACATGAACAGTTTTAAAGCTCCCAGAACATTTCATTAAAAAAAAGTTTTTAGGTGAATCTTGTAGTCCTACTACTATATATGAGTAGTTTATTACTGTTTCATTAATGCAGTGTTTTAGCTAATAACTTACAAAAACAGTAATTGCCGAGATGAGAATTGAGTGTAAGATTATCAACCATTGACATTGATTTTCAAGAAGATTATAAAGCAATGGATTATGCTGTGGGAGTGAGAATCAGATTTGAGGAACTTGAATGGCACACAGAAAGAGTGGAATAAAGTACTGCTAAATTTTGGAACAATGTTAAAACATCTCTGGTGAGAACAGCAGAGTAAGCATAGCATTGAGGAAACAGTCAAAGGAGAAGAAAAACCATGGGTGATGGAAGAAATCCTTAAATTAATGAGCACTAGCTGTGTGCTCAGACAAATTAATCGCAAGAGGATAAATAATATTCAAGACTATCTGGACCAATTAAGGCCATGTGTCACAGCGTATCTGTGATGGAAGGAGGCCAGTTTTGAATAACGGATGTGTATGAATACAGTTTAATCTTTTGAGGTCAGGCAGTATCTGTGTGGAATTTTCACCAGGAAGTAGGTTGGATGGGGTGAAGTCCAGGATAGGGTAGGATTTTTATGATCTCTGGAAGGAGTGGGCAACTTTCCAAATGGCCTTTTCTCTTTCCATTTTATTTGTTATGAGGAGGTGAGCTAAAGGACAAGATGATCAGAATCCAGCTAAGATGGTAAACCTATTGATAGAACAGTACAGGGAGATGGAAGAATCAGACAGAAGAGGCACAGGAAGAGAACTGAAGAGCTAATTGAAAGGGATGAAAAATGCAAATGTTGTATTAAGAACAACCAATTTGAAAGTCGAATGGACAGATTATAGAATATGTTACTGACCCATGCTTTGAAGAAACACTGAAAAACAAAATTGCATGATCCACGAGAGGGTATTTTGGAATTATTTTCTAGTTAGGTTGCAAAGCTATTTGCCCATTCTTGCCATAGTGTTCTGAAAATTGCATTATAGTGTTTTTAAGCACTGTTAATACCGTAAATACTTTTCCCTAGGTTTCGGGAAGACTTCACTGTGGACAGTGAACTTGGCTTTCATAAGAAAAAAGGTCAGCATCAAGATCACTGAATAATATTGTTATAAGTTATTGTGATGATAAAATGCCTTTATTCTTTGATAAATGTTGTCCTTTATACAGATGTATGGTACTGATAATTCAGGTTTTGACTAAATATTGAAATTTTGAATTCAAAAATCTATTTGACTTTCCCTAAACTGATGTTTTTTTAATTAAGCTGTTCTCTGTATCCTGGGTGATGTGGGTATAATGTGTTGGTGTAGCAATGTGCAATGCCACAGAATTGTAAAGATATTTGAGGCACAAAATGGGATAGACTGTATATAATTTAATTACATTGAAATAGAATTTAAAGGTAATTTGCTTTTATCTAAGTATCCAACATTTTAAATTGTGGCTTGTTACATCTAACCAATCTTAAGCAACCTTAATACATAATAGTAGTGAAATATTGTAGCAAACTGTGTAATTCATGATATATAGGTAGTTGCATTAGAACAGTGTTTGTTTTGCATCAAGTCAGTGTAAAAATGGCCAGTCTAATGTTTCTCTTCTTGCAGGTGGTAGAAATACAAGGAAATACAATGCACGATTTCAGCAATCTGAGGCTCGAGGTAATCTATTCTTTTAAACTTATGTAAATCCTTCTTATAAATAGGAAATGTTGACATCAAGTCGTTTCTTCCTCTTCTGTTCAGCCTCCATCTGTAAGTTATCCCTTTAAGAAAATTGTGTCCTTCACAGTCAGATGATCATTCCCATGCAAATGTATATTGAGCCTTTTTCTGGGGTATATGCCTTCAAGTTCTTTCTCTCATTGTAAGCAACACATAATGTTCACATCACAAAAGCCATTTGAGTTCTTATTCATTAGTTTTGTTTGGTGAAAAAAGGTCTAACATTTTCTCGTGTGAGTTCTGCTCTTGCAGGTTGAAAATATCTTCATTTTCCTAGTTTATAATGTTTGTTTTCTATATTACATAACATTTTAAAATGTGAGGTAGATTCAGCACAAGCAAAGCATAATGTAAGATGTTGCTACAACAATTCATCTCTTGGAATGTTGTGTTCCTTCCCTGTTTGCCATGACATTGTGCCAAGTAGAAGAGCATTGTTTTTTTCATGAACCAGCCTTGATCAGAACCTGGATAACTAAGCAATGGCAACAAAGTCTATAGGCAATTCCAGAGATGTCTGTAAAGAGTCTGCCTAGATTTGAGGTAGTTTCTATTTGATATGGATCTTTCATATTTCAGATGATTGGAATCGCTCTGATAGGGCACGAGAATTGTCCCCTCGGATTGAAGCTACAGATAGCACAAAATCTAGGGGCAAGGACAGACTAACTGGGAGAGCCAGATGCTATAAGTAAGTAAAGGCTGAAGGTTGGTAAGTTTTTGTCCATTACCTAATACTTTTTGTTGCTGTTTTTGTACAGGTTCGTTTTGTGAAACCTTGAAGCTGGGCTTTCTTTTCAGAGAGAGCTTTGTGCTGAGAGTATCTGGAATCTTAGCCTCTTGTCTCTTACTAGATCTCCCATTGAAACAAGGTTTCTTGTAGATACTATTAGTTATTAGGTCTATATACTATTAGGTCTCATACACCAATGGAAGAAGTACACATTTCATCTTGCCCTTTCAATTGCAGATGTCTACTTGTCATGAGAAAGGTCTCATGAGGCCTAACATTGGAGATGGTAGTTGCTGGAACAACCTGCAACCTCCTTTCTTGAGCCTGCTGCTGGATGCTTTCCTGTGCAGCTGGTGGCTCTATCCAGTAAATAGATCAGGACCATAGTTCTCCTGATTAAATATACATCAAATCATCAAACATAATCATGACATGGTATGGTTGGCTCTTACCACTCCCAGGTTCTAATGTGGGGTCAGTGAGGATATCTTTGGGCAAATAACTCACACATATATCAACAAAAAGGGTTTGGTGATAATTTCTAGACCTCATCTCTTTGCCAGCACACATTGCTTATTTCCTGCTGGTACAGGAATCACCAGATGATGTTCTTGGCTCAATATGCATAATCAAATTAGACAACAGTATTGCCCTGAGCCTGCCAGAAAGCTTCCTTAACAAGGATCCACCTTTACAAGTTCAGAAGTTTCCCTTTCTAAGGATCTGAAGGTTATATAGGACATTAATCAGATTTAGCATTTCCTTCAATAGAATTCTTTGTTACATTGGATAATTGTCAGCTATTCTGTTCTGCTTAGAAACTACAGACAACGCAGCCTGGAGACTGGATGGTCTGTCTCTGATTTCTTGGTGTCCTTTAGAAATATGAGCCGAATAGATGCTGGTGATTCTGATAACTTTTTTTTGTTGGAAACCTTGTTTCTTAGACAACCTTTTGATATTGTTTCAAAGGATAAATAAGCCAGGGATGATGTACAAAGTAGCAGCTCCATAATTTAAAATTCCATTCTGGTGAAAAAACAGAAAGAAATAGAGCGATATAGTCAAACTGTTAATGTTAAAAACTGTAAACTGCTGAATTTTCAGTCAAATTTTGTCTTGTGCATTTTTTGGTTAGGATTTTAAATGTTTTTTCATTGTGTTGACTCACATAATTACATATTGGTCTATTTTTGTGGCTACCTACAGCATAGGTCCCCAGGTTCATATTATACCATAAAAATCTCCAAAGACTTGTCTGTCTATTTGCAATATGTTAGTAATTTGTTCCAGAATTAGATTGCTTTAGTATGCATGGGGACAGAGTAAATTGAATTTTCTTAAGTTCTGTAATTGTACCAGAGCCAGAAAGTACTTTGTTCCCATCCTCTACGAGAACAGAGGCAAAGTCTAAAAATACTAATAAACATGGTTACTGGTTGATTAGGGAAGAGTATTCGGAATAATAGTTCCATTGAATGTTGTGAGGAATGGATGAAAATTGATTGTTCCGGTATTTATTATATGTCTAGTTAGTTTCAAATAGTTGGGTTGGTTCAAACCCAACATAGAAGCTAGAGACTTTGCTGCTAAGTAAAGTTACTGACCTTTGTCAGCATACCTATAATGGGAATTCTTACATTATAAGCAAACAGTAGTAAGGGCAGTAGCTATGCTGATGAGCTACATTTCTCCTTTTTTAATCTCCACTACAGCATATAAAAAGCTTGAAAGATTAGGTCATTGACATTCAAACTGATTACCAACTAGGTCAGACGTTAAATAGAATTACAAAATCTCTATACAATATCTAGCATTTCCTTTCATGAATTCCTACCCTCTGCAATCTTCCATGATCCAGGACCGAGATCAATATTAATTTATAAGATATAGCATTGCAATCTCTGCCTGGTTCAGTCATATGAAACTATTTAGTTTGATCCTGGTGATAATGTAGGAAATCTGAATGCAAAACATAGATAAACTGCTTTTAGGGTTATGTTTGTAACCGTGTCTACATAGGCAGACTTCTCTACTTATTCGTGTTGTGTCCCTTTTAGCGTGAAAGTTGTAATACCATACAAAAATTGATTTTGCAACATTTATATGCTTCACTATGTCGTACTTCATTTCTCCTGGGAAAATAGAATGGCGCATCATTCTAAGAAAACAAGTTACAAAATGCACAATATCTGATCAACACAATTTACAGACGCAAAACTTGAATTTTTTTAACTGAATGTGACCCTTTTGATTCTTCAGAAAATTATATCTTTGCAGTTTATAATTAGCCTAATTTCACTCCATTTATTTTTCTTGGCTACTCTTTGTATCTTGGGATCTTAATCTTTTTCTCATGACTCTTGGTTTAATGTGTGCTATTGGTGGAATAACAGTCGAAGAGGAAGGTCTTGAGACAGGTCTTGAATGGAGAGGACACAAGCTGCAGAGTTCTTGGATGATTTGCAGCTTATGGAGGGAGGAGTTGGGAAAGCCGAGAAGCAAGTAGTTTGCGTAGTCAAGCCTGGATGTTATGAATGCATGTATGCGGGTCTCAGCGACCAGCGGTGTGAAACAGTGGTAGAACCGAGCGATGTTGCGGAGGTGGGGAAAGGCGGCGCAGGTCATGGCATAGATGTGGGTATAAGGGACAGTTGAGGGTCAAACAGGAGGGCCTTAGTCTTGTTGACAGGAAGTTAGCTCTCATCCAGGACTTGATGTCTGACAGGCAGTCTATGAGGACAGCAATGGTCCTGTAATTGAGGGTGGAGGCAGAGAGGTACATTGGGTGTCATCTGCATACATGTGGAAGTTGACTCCATGTCTGCAGATGATGCCACCAAGGGGGAGCATATAGATATTGAAAAAGTGAGGGCCGAGGACAGAGCACTGAGGGACGCCACATGTATATGTTGGAATTGTTTGCTTACCTTTGAAAGTAGGATGTTTGTTTAGTAATCAGAGCACTGTTAAACATCGTTGGTTAGTCTCACCTGTAAATACCCCTTTTAAAAGAAATGTATTAGCCTAATTTTTTTGTTTTTCTGTTTTTAATTTTTTTAAAATTAATTGTTAATGACACCAGAAGAACTGATTGTATAAAATGTTTAATGATTCCAGAAATATGAAGTTGATTTAATATCCAATATGTACAGTCAAGGTAGCTCAACCCTTATATTAGTTCATCTGCACACGTTACTACAGTTCAGTTTTGTTAAGCACAGTAAATTCTCCAAGTTGTTTCCTTCGATGAAGTCATCAGCACTGACTATTTTAGAACAATATACAAACTTACAGGAAAAAACAATCAGGTTGTTTTAATTTCTGAAAGGCACATTTTAACATTAGATGTTTGAATTCTGGACAACGAAGTGTTTTAACTGTTTGCTTCTGATTAAGCAGAGATGGTTTTGTTTAATATCCTTTACAACAATTACCATTGGTAAAGTGTACTCTGTTACACAATGACGAATTCCATGCTTACATGGTTGCATTAGGACCTTCAAAAATGAAGTCTTAACATCTGCACTGAAACCTGTATTACTATTGTCAGAACTCCTAGCAGCTGTAACTTTATTTTCATGAACTTTGGCTTAGAATCTAAAGCTCTTTTGCTGAAGAGCAATAAACCATTTCGATAAACGCAACCTACACGTCAGGTTCGACCCCCAATTATCCTTCCCCCCCACATCCGGTCCCTCACCAGCACCGCTTTCTTCCACCTCCGATGCATCGCCCGTCTCCGCCAATACTTCTCTCCGAAAGCCGCTGAAACCCTGGTCCATGCCTTTGTCACCTCTCGGCTAGACTACTCTTAACACCCTCCTCACCGGCCTTCCCTCCACTACCATCCATAAAATCCAAATCATTCAAAACTCTGCCGCTCGCATTCACACCCGCACAAAACTCCGCTCCCTGATCATCCCAGTCCTTGCCAGACTGCACTGGCTGCCTGTCCCAGAGAGGATCAATTTCAAGATTCAAGTCCCTGCACTCCTCTGCACCTCCCTACCTCTCTGACCTCCTCTCTCCTCAAAACAGTACCCGTTGCCTTCGTTCCTCCGGGTCTGGCCTCCTCCTTGTCCCCCGAGTTCTCCACTCCACCCTCGGCGGCCGTGCCTTCAGCCACTATCCCCGAGGCTCTGGAACTGCCTTCCTCACTCCCTTCGCGTCACCCCCTCTCTTCCTATTTTCAGGTCTCTGGTGAAGACCTTTCTTTTTGATCGCGCCTTTGGTCACCTTCCTCCCGCTGGCTCAGCCCCAGGATCCGTTACTGTGAAGCGCTCTGAGACGCCATCTGGCATGGAGGGCGCTATATAAATCCAAGTTGTTGTAGGTAGACACTTATCTATTTGCCACCCAAAGCCAGTTTTTGGTTGATTTTATGCATTGAACTTTTGGCGATGCATGATTATAGTGGGGAAATCCCATTAGCAGCTGAATTGTTATGTAGAATTTACCAGAATGTCAGCCTGTAGAAGCCCAGGCTTCTTTCCAGGTGATGGATTTGTTTAGATGATGCTGATGTTACTTCATGCTTGTCAGATTTTGTTGTTGATTATGAGAACATCCTGCATTACTTGGTTTAGCAGATACATATTGGTTTGCCTGTAATGTTTGAGACAACTGTTTGATCTTGCTTGTAAGATTGTCATGTTTCAACTAGTAAGCTATGGTCTAATGTGATCTTTCTCTCTCTTGCAATAAAAAGAGAAGTGGGATGACGTGCAAGCTTAATAAGACAAATCGTTGCTCATTCATAAAATTTATAGAAATTGAGTTTTCTCCTGTATTTTGCCATGACTAAAGAGCACTAGATCCTGGATGATTATGAATTGGATTATAATTAGATAACCTACTGAGGAAAAGGGCGATATTTGGTACTGATGGTGGAGTGAACAAGAACCAGGCTTATTCGTTTGACAAAGCACTATATCAGTAGAGTGGATTTTATTATATTTAGCAGTCAAATCATTTCTTATTCTGTTCTCTAATGCGTTAATGTCTCCTAGTGAATCATGTATTTTATATAGAAAATAGCTAAAGTTTGACTTAGAAAACTGTAAACAAGAGTTCTGTTAATTGCTTTACAGTTTAGAGAAATCTCCAGTCACTAGCAGCTTAGTACCTATCCGTTTTTTAAAACTCAAAATGAGTTTAAGTTTCTGCTTCTCGATAAATATGTGCGTTGCTTCAACCACTGTCAAAAGCAGTTTGCAATTATTTATAATTTACCAGACTACATAGTTTTAATCATTCATATTTTATCCAGATTTCAATTATGTAAAAAAGAGAGAAAAATCAAAATCAGAGGTACTTTTGTAGTCAATTTCTGTATTGGTATTTTTTGTTAAATGTAGAATATTCCACAGCATACTTACCTAGATGTTTAAATATCGTTGTAAATTGAAGGTTTTTAAGTGGTATTTATTCAGTTGTATGTATAAATTTCAAACTAAATTGTTACTGAGAATAAACAATAAAAGCTAGGGCAAATGTAATCTCTCTGTACATACTATACATGCAGAAAATGATTAATAATATTTGTATACTCTGTATACATAATATACACACAGAAAATGATTAATAGTATTTGGCTTACTTTTACACAGCAGATTCGATGCAAAAGGGAAGTTTGAAATACAGACAGAGACAGGAGACCAGGTATGTACAAATTGAAAGGAAGAAGGGCCAGAGACCCATCAAGTCTAGTCCAGGAGGAATTCTCCCTCCCTCTCCCACCGAATACTCTTTGTACTCCCAGGAGCGTACCAGGAAAGACCTACTAACCTGTGAAAATCCATGTCTGAAAGAAGTTGCTATGGCTCTTTGAAGATTATAGAACAACGTCCGATGCATTGGACAAGCACTATTTCTCAAGGTTCTGCAATTGGTGTAGAGTTCAGTTCTGATCATCAGACAAGAGTACTATTGATGCTCAAATGTTTGCGTTTGCCTCAGAATCAGACCACGAAACCTGGGGGTCCATTACTTCACAGTCCAAAAAAGGTACACAAGGATTCTGATCCATGCAGCATTTTTAGGTTCTACATTCTTTTTTCCTAAAGGAGGCTCTGACGCTCCATTGCAATCCTGGGGCGGTGCTTCATTGCTGAGATGTTAAGCCAAAGTTCATCCGCCTATTAAAGATCCCATGACTATTCGAAAAGAGAAGCAAGTTTTTCCCCAGTGCCCTCATCAACCATTCCCCAAATAAAATTGGTCATTCACTTCAGGGCTGTTTGTGGTGCATTGCTGTGCGCAAAATTAGCCCTCATCATTCAATCATTATAAAATAATAATCTTTCACACAATACAAGTTTCAATTCATTCAGATTAGAAATTTTGTTATTGAGTATACAATTTTAATTTTTAATACAATTTTAGGATACTTAAATCTGGAGTGAGATGGAACGAACACATTGTGAAAGCATTCATGGAAAACAGGTTTGCATTTATGATTCCCAGCAGTAAGAGTTCCAAATCTTAGCTGGACTGCCAAGGTTGGTGTCAAACAGCGGTCTGGTGAATCCCACCATGTCTTACAGAGGAAAGAAACATTTGAGGAGAAGTCAACATACTTTGCTCAAAGGTTCCAAACGTGACTAATTCATGAATTGATTTAATATTCAGACAATTAATATTTAACGATACTTGGTCATGACATTTCCCACATCAGTAAAATTAAAAAAAACTCAGAATAGTAATAACAATTAAAATGATAATGAGAGCCTCAAAAATTCCAACCTTTAAAAGATTCAAATAACACAGCAAAGTTTACACTTGATGCATATTTCTATTCGTATATGAGATACAAATTAATATTTTACATTGAAAGAAAAGGCAGCTGTAATCAAATGCCCAACATTTTCAGGAGAAGCAGGTGAGTATGATTATTATAATAATAATCCTTGTGTTTGATATGGCGCCTTATCACGTCGTTGACACATTTCAAAGCTCTTCACAGTATATGCTGTAAAGTGAATTGACTGTATTTGGGGGCAAAATGCAGCAGCCAATTGCGCACAGCAGTATCCCACAAGCAGTCGTAGATTGAATGACCAAATTTTTCATCCTCTCTCAGAAGGTCATAAATGCAAAAGCAATTGATCAGATAATAATCTTTTCTTATAGTAGCTGTAATAACAATGCATCTCAAGTAGGTACTTGGGAAGTAAAAGGAATATGAAGAGTGGGGAATGGCAATACAAAATATAAGAAAAGCTGCTGAGATATTAAATAGCCTACTTCGATTCCTATATTCCTAGTTACTATACTATAAGATGACGAGCACTTCTGCTCTAATAATCCAAGCTTCCACCTGTATCAGTGACAAATCTGCTTGATGAGTGATTCAATACCATCAGATATTATTACATCTGAGTGACCAGAGCAATTTTGACTGACACTCGAGTGATTTTATCATTCTCAGCAGTGCTCAAAGCAGTTGCATCAAATCCAGCTTCAGTGCACATCCAAGCTGATAGTGATAACAAAGGAACCCACACTTACTAACAGGAAAAATAAGATGTTGATTAAGGATGCACACACAATCCTAGCAGATTCCATCCATCCTTGAAGATGTAATTGTATTATTTATATTGGTGACTGAATTTGCTGGGAATTATCCCAGTTCTAACACTATATTTTCTTTTTGTAAAGTGGAAGAATACAGAACATAAGGATCAAATGGTAAATGAAGAGGAGAAATTGTGGAGGGATGGCAGTGTGGACATAGTTGTGCTTGATTGGGAAGACATTGAAGAAGATACTGATGTCTGGAGGAATGGGGTGTGGGACATGCTTCAACCTTGTGACTCACAGACAAGCTCTTTAGATCTCAAGGATAGTGTTCTGCTGGATGTTGAAGGGACGGTGAACAAGCAAGCGAACTGTGACAGTAAACTGGGTGATATATCTCTGGCTGCAGAGCTGTTGGATCATAATGCATCTGATGAAAACGGTTCTCATACCCAACTGGAAATTGGCGTTTTGGATCACGGTCTTCTGTCAGGCAGTGATATACAGGACAATGAAGAGACTGGAAATAACATGTCAAATTCCTCTGTGGATACTGAAACACTGGAGAAAACATATCTGTTGGATACCTTGGATAAGAAATCAGTCCAAAGCGTTGAGACAGAAGATCATGAAACATTAAAAGACAAAAGTGGAATGGAACATGAATTGCCTGATTATTGTGACACTCAAGTTGACAGTTTGACATTGAATGAAATTGCTGATGGTCATGAAGAAGCAAAAATAATTTGCTCTTCAGCTACTGAAAATGGAACCCGAAGTTTGGCATCAAACAGTAAGTTACAGGATGTGTCTGGAGAGGAAGCCACCAGCAAGTTGCAGCTCAAACTGAAACCAGATAGTGTAGAGATCTCACAACAGATTGAACAGGAAAGTAGTGTCCTCAATTTCAATGGTGGAAATAATGACCCTGGTCCTGATACAGAGAAGAAATGTCAGCAGACACTCTCTGAAGAAAAGGAAAGAAATGGCACTGACCATCCTGATGCAAAAGGTATTTTTTGTCTCATTTTTAATAAGCCCTAGAGTTCACAATTATGATATCATATCCCTGCCTTGTTTAAGATTGTTATCAATCCCTGAAAATATATTCACCATTGTATTGAGCTCCACTCTGTCAGGATCCTTTGTCAGGATGTACTTTGTCAGGATGTGCTTGGCCTTTTCTCCCATTCTCCATACAGAAGTGAAGTTTCATTTTTGATTATATCTAATATATGTTTTTAAAAATGCCTTTACTTGTAGGTTTGACCATTACCCTCTTCCCATGTTCTTTTAAAGCAGTAAAATAATTTTATAATATAACAGGCACCTACCTGTCAGTATTGTTTATTTGCTGCTTTTTTTTCAGGGACACCTGGCAATTCAACTGTTGTCTTGAAGAAAAAACAAGAGATTTCACCCGACTCTATGATAATAGACATTAACAACTGTAATGTTGTTGGGATAATGGTATGATTGAGCAAAATAATTTTCAGAGACACATTATATAATTAATCATAAAGGCATCATCACTTTAGCTTCTCCTTTCCATTTTTAGTTTTACAAATCGATACTTCACTACATTGTTAGAACCATGTTTTTTTTGAAAGCATAAGAGTTCAATTTGGATTAATAGATCTTCAGTTTGAATACATTTTGTTTGGGGCCATAGGGTAAAAAGAATATAGAGTGAACATTGTGCTTTTTGGTATGGCATATCTATTTTCTTCTTACATAGTATTTTATAATGTCCAGAGTTGGAAAATCTCCAGTGCAGTTAGCGTTGTCCAAAATTTGATAGTGTTGGGGCACAGAATGTGTTGTGCTTCATTCTGGAACATTGATGTGGACCACTAATTTAATTAAAGCAACAAAAAAAACTCAAGAAATTTCAATTTATAAACATATAAACTTATAAATTTATATAAATATGAATATTTACTATTAAATTACTTAATACTCAGTATAATTGATTTAATAGTAAACTAGAATTAATCTCAGTTTGGAAAACATTTTGAGTTATGTTGTCTGATGCAAGACACAGTATCTATGAGACATCATTTTCAGCAGCAAGGAGTCAAAAGTGTTCTTGAAGGTGTATAATCTCTCTCTTGGTGTGCACTCATTAAATGACTGACTTTATTGGGTAATTGATAGCTAACAACGTCCCATATATGCTGCAGAATGGGAAACTGCAGGTTACCTATGTGGAAGACTAGCCCCTTTGCCACAGAGAGGCTGAGAAAATTGAAGTAAATGGTATTTCCATGTACCCTTAAGGAGCCGAATGGAGTAATTGCAGAAACCAAGAAGCAGTCACCTTTAAGATAGGTGTAGAGAGGTGCAGAAAATTAAATTTGCTTTCAGAAAAAAAATGCTAGCTTTCAATCTGACCCGAGTTGCATCTCATTCAAATTTATCTTGGAGTCCTGTAGCTTAGTGGTTAGAGCACTCGCCTCATAAGCGAGAGCACCTGGGTTTCATTCCAGGGCAGGGTGAAACATTGGGCAAGTTTCCTTACTCCACACACCTCTGTTTACCGAGCAGTCAGGAGAAATCCAGGTGTTAGTTGATTGGAGGATCGCTTTTCCCGGGGTAATCCTCCAAAATAAAATAATAATAATTTGGTCACTCAATTCACGACTGGTGTGTGCAATTGGCTGCTGCGTTTTGCCCACAAAATATACAGTCAATTCACTTTACAGTATATTCTGTGAAGCGCTTTGAGAAGTCTTGAAGATGTGATAAGATGCAAGGATTATTATTAATAATATTATTATCTTCCCTTATTGCTAAGTGTGGTCAGTTGTAGGCTCAGTTCAGTTTTTTTAAGCCCAATTTGCTAATTGCCATTTCTTTTCTGTTCCATCTCTCAGGTTGAAGAAAACTGAAGCCACACCTTACTGATGATATTGTGTTGTTAAGATCCTCAGCACCTATAATGCAATTATCACATCAAATTCTGTTACACAGTGTTTATAATGTATAGCTACAGGCTTTATAACACTCAGATAACATGCAAGAGTAGAAACCTTCCTCTAGCTAAAGTCAAAACCTTTACAAAAAGCACTAAGCAAAATTTCCAAACACTTTAATTTACTTTTTTAAATATTTTATTTGCTGCAAATTCTGCATATTTAAGCACTTTATATCTATTATTTGTTTTATTTAAATATAATCTGGTGCACTTGATGTGGCTGATGAATAGGTAAGTAGACTCAGAAGTTTTAAATAAAACTAGCTCTTGTGAAAGACTTAGCTTAGAAGACTGGATTTAAATCAGCATGTGTTTTACATTTACGATCTATTTGAACAATACATGCTTCCAGAGAGGTTTGAACAAAATGGGTATGGACAGCACTGGCTTGAATAGTGATTTGCACTATTCCTGCCCTGTCATCCATTTAAAATGCTGTAAATTAAGGGCACAGGTATAATGTGGGGCAAAACAATTGTAGTTATTTGATTCCACAATCACAACTATAATAAAAAAGCAAAATTATAACACTTAGAACTGAGTTGCTTTGAAGACAAAGGTTAAAAATACTCAAGGTCACAAATAGTTTGGGTAGTCTTAATTTAGTTTGCAATAGAAACTGTAGATCTGATTGTAATTTGGCAGGTTTTTCAGCTAGCTTTAAGTATTCTGACAAACAAAAACATTTCACTGGTGACAGGAGGTTGTTTTTTCAGAGGTTGGGATTGAAAGGTTATCAAGACAGCATTTCTTCTGACACATATAGATCTGTGCTCTCCATGTGTGATTTGAGGGTAAATACTTCTGAATTTGCCATTGTGCCCATTTTGAGAAAGGAAATCTATACTTTGGAGTCTTTCAAATGAAAAACAGTCACAAAATGTACATTTGCTTTGAAATGTTTCAAGTGCTCGTTGAGAATCAGCATAAGTCAAGCTGTCTGTCACTGCTCTTGTGTCTATTATTTGGACCTGTGCCAAATAATGCTGCATGTGAGCCAGTCTTGCATCAATTGGAAATTGCCCTCCATTTTGTTCATTACTAATGCTTGACCTTAAAGAGTACCTTGGACTACAAAACGGGAAATTTGCTTCTGCTTTAACATCTGAATTGCTCTTCTGAGGTTAGCTATAAACTGAAACTTATTTCATTCAACAGACAGGTATATGAACGCCTCCCAATTCACAAACTGAATTAATCACCCCTAACTGCGAAGCCTGGGAGGAATTGCATTGAGGTTAGGTTACCTATCCACAGACTGAATGTAAATTGACTTGGTATGGTTGTTTAACAATCTCTTATTCCCAGCATCATCACATTGATGAGATGGTGTTTACATTTGTTTTATGAAAAAAACACATGGGAGCTTTTGCTCAAATACATGGTTTGCAAGGAAGTTAAGGGGCTGCAATCATGCAGGATTCCCAGATTTCTTTTGTAATTGCCATTCTTGAAAAGCACAAAGAGGTAGATTATTACGTCTCTGAATGAACCTGTTCAGTATAGGAGGGGTAAGAAGAGGATATGTGTGTGTGTGTGTGTGTGGAGGGGGGAGTAATAGGTTAGCATTGGCATGGTGCAGAGTTAATGCTCATCTTAAAGTTTACTTATTTGAATGGTGTGCATTGTTTGATGCTACTTGTATTTAGAGTTGAATAGATTAAAAAAAAATATTTTTGTTACTCATGTCATGTAAACAAGAATTAAGGTTAGGTAAATCCAGAAAACATTGGCCGATGATGTATATATTAGAGCATGGTTTGCAGTTTTCACAATAGTGAATATCGGTGGTTGCCTTAGACTGGATTGAAGTTTTTTTTTGAAAGCTGATTTCATTTTTGTGGAATTATTAAAGCAACAATGTCTGTTTCAATGATGATTCTGGCAGTTTTTTTTTAATGCTTCACACAGATCTCGCCATATGTACCAGGCAGCGTCTGGTGGTTCATAGCTTTGGTACTACAAATTGCTATGTAACAGAGTGGTGCACTCACACTTCCTGCGTGGTGTTCCTGATCTTGACCATGCCAATAATCACTTTATTCTGCTTCTCCTCCTTCACCTGCGACCTTCCAATCCTCCTCTGATATTCTGTCAGCTTGACTGGCAGACATCAAGGCTTGAATGAACGAAAATTTCTTGCAGTTAAACGTCAACAAGACAGAAGTCATACTCTTTGGCTCCTGTCGACGTCTTCTGTTCTGCGGTTCCGACTTCCTCAACCTACCTGATTTGTCTTAACACTCTCTGAACCCGTGCGCAACTTAGGCATCAGGTTCGATCCTCAGTTATCCTTTCTCCCCCACACCCGGTCCCTGACCAGCACTGCTTTCCTCCACCTCTGCCATATTGCACATCTCCGAGAATACCTCACTCCACAAGCTGCCGAAACCCTTGTCCACGCCATTGTCACCTCTTGTCTGGACTATAACGCCCTCCTCGGTCTCCCCTCCTCCACTATTCACAAAATTCAACTCATCCAAAATTCCCGCATTCTCACCCACACTAAACTCCGCAACCCGATTACTCCAGTCCTTGCCAAACTCCACTGACTCCCTGTTACAGAGCGGATCAACTTCAAGATCCTCACTCTAGTGTTTAAATCTCTCCACGCCTTGGCACCCCCCATCTCTCTAACCTCCTCTCTCCTCACAGCACTACCTGCTGGCTCCGCTCCACTAGCTCCAGCCTCCTCCTTGTCTCTCAAATCCTCCACTCCACCATTGGTGGCCATGCCTTCAGCCACTACGCCCTGAAGCTATGGAATTCCCTCCTTCAATCCTTCGCCTTACCCCCTCTTTACCCATTTTCAGGTTGCGCCTGAAGACCTTCCTCTTCGACCTTGCCCACAGTCACCTTCCCCGTCCCCCTGGCTCGGCATAAGGTTCAACCATTGTTCTGTGGAGGGCGCTACATAAAGGCAAGTTATTATTATTTATGCTAATCACTTCCGAGGATCGAAGGACATTTCAGTCTCCCCAGATCCACTATCCACAAAATCCAACTAATTCAGAACTCAGCAGTCTGTTCGGTAAAATTCTAATTTAGTTCGCTCTAAATTCGGTACTCCCATCACATCAAACCTCACCTGGCTCCCTATCACAGAACGGATTGATTTCAATAACCTCTCCCTTGTCTACAAATTCCTTCATGCCCTGGCATTTCCCTACCTCTCTGACCTGCTTACTCTCCACGGCAGCAATGTCCCACAAACAGCGATGAAGTGAATGTCTAATTTTATTTGAGGGATTGTTGGCCAGGACACTGGGAGAAACTTCCTTTTCTTTTCGAATCATGACATGACATTCCACCTGAGCAGGCAGACAGGACCTCAACTGAAACACGGCATCTTCTGCAATGCAAACCCGCCCACCCCCCGCATTGCAATGGAGTATCTTCTTAGGTTACATGAGTCCGATGTGAAGCTTCTAACCCAGAGACGAGAGTGCTACCACTGAGCAAGGCTGTCGGTTCGAATAATAGCCCATGGAGGAAGAGGATGATGTCAACAGCATACAGTAATGATTTACTAAATACTGTATTCGTTCGTTCACTTTGTTTTGAATTTCTATTTCAACAGAATGTATTCCTGATCACTCATGGGAGTTTTGAGTTGCATATCAAAAAATTAAAGACCAATTGTAATCTGAACAATCTGACTGGATGTATTTTAGCTTTCGAAAGCTGAGTTTCAAATCATCAGAAGCTAAACATTTTTTGGAGGTCAGCTGGGTGTCTGACACCATGCTTTAAAATACCTCAATTTATTTTGCCAAGGTTAATTGTAAGACCTTTTCAATAAACACTATGAAGTGTATAGAGTATTCAAACCCAAATGAGAATTCCATGCTAAACATCCAGATTAAACTACCTGATTATCAAAGCCAGGCTGAATTTTATAGTTGGGCAATTGTTTATTTTGCTTCTCATGGTTGATAGATTCTGTAGTCACTATGCTGAAGATGAAACTTAGTTTCATTAATCACCTTACTGAACGTTATCAGTTTAGTCATTTTGAGTCGCATTATGATTTTCAATGCTAAGCAGTTGAATGCTGCAGGTACAGTACATCTCGTCATCTTTTTCATGCTAACAACTTCTTATGAAAGGTCTTGTGTTGCGCAATGAAATATTTAGATACTGTTGCATAATGAGTGAAACAGTACTCTTAAGGGAGAATGATTGACCATTTTGTAAGTACTCTTGTGATGCGATTGACATTTATTTGCAAATATAGTTAAACTTTCAGTACTTGAATTGTAAAGTGCCAGTGATCCATAAAATACCTCAATTTATTTTGCCACTAAGGTTAATTGCAAGACCTGAAAGATCTTTTCAATAAATGTTATGAGGCAGATTGACCTTTTGATCGCTAAAGTAGTAACACAGAGTAAAATTGTGGAACACGTTTAAAACTTTTATTCCTTTATTGATGTAAATTGTTCTGTACATTTATTCTCTACAATAATTATATGTTTGCAGAAGCACTTCATTTATAATTAAAAAGGCAGATTTTTGGTTCGAATTATTAAAGTTGCCCTGGCACAATTCGAAAAGAGAAGGGAATTTCTCTCCCGGTGTCCTGGCCAACAATTCCCCAGGTAAAATTAGTCATTCATTTAAAGGCTGTTTGTGTAGCAATGCTGTGCTCAAATTAGCTGCCTTGTATGCCTACAAATATATAGTCACTGCACTTTACAGTAAATCACGTGAAGAGATTTGAGATGTCTCAATGACGTGATAAAGTAATATGAAATTCAAGAATTATTATTAGTGATGGAATACTGTAGTAGCTATTAGAGCCTATGATTAATCAGCAATATTTGCATTTTAAAGTTGCATGTTGTCATTAGTACTCCTTTTTAAATCTTTTTAACACTTCCTATTTGTTTCTGTTCATGCAAACTAAAGGTAAAATCTACTAACATTTTGAGGGAAGACTGGATGGAGATCCTGAGCCAAACTGTACAGTGGAGGCAAAATAAAATGCTTAATTCAAATGACAAGAATGTTGACGTCACGGGTTAGTGAATCCACTGACTGCTAAGATCAGTAGCTCTATTAAGAGTTATTATATTGGTTGATCTCCTGGTGTAACAGGCAATCTGGTTTGCACTATGTATATCTGGGAGCATGCAGGGAGCCAGACTGTTCTCCAGACACGATGGTAACTTTGTACAATATTCAGAAAAATTAAGATCACAGATGGCAGAGACAGAGATACTGATTAAATAAAATGGCTGAGCTCTTTGGGATATAATCTGAAAATATTACTGTGCTTCACAGCTTGAACCAGTGCTATACAATTGAATTGCTACAGAGAACAGACATTTTCTATCTCTGAAATGATCTATTTTATTTCTTAGCAACAACGTCTGAAGTATCTGCATCCTTTTGATCTTAAATCCCATCCAGAAGTTTGTTTCGGTCATTTTGTTTCAAGAGGTAGGTTTGTTTCAGGTACACCTTTGAATTTTTAATATTGCTGGATGAATATTCAAATAAAACTAGAGCTATTAGTTTTCAATTGTGTTCTTGCAACAAGAATTGCTGAAGTTGAACATCAGCTCAGCAAAATTCAAACATGGAAAAGTGAAGGGTAAATTTAGCTTGAAAGCTGGCAGTTGAACACTATTCTACAAGATTGAAGAGATTTTTTGTTACACAAGGCCATTGTCAAACCTTGCCATCATTTTCGTAATAATAATCCTTGCATTCAATATCCTTGGATATCCTTGCATTTGTCCCCAAAATACACAGTCAATTCACTTTGTGCTATATCCTGTGAAGTGCTTTGAGACGTCTCGACGACATGATAAGTCGCTTGCTGTATCAAATGCAAGGATTATTATTCATTTTAGTAGATATTGGGGAATCACTGCATTGCCAGAGATCCTTCAGATGAGATGTTAAACTGAAATCCCATCTGTTGTATGTTCGAGAGGGATGTTTAAGATCCAGTTGCACTATTCGAAAAGAGAAGAAAGCTTTTCTCCCAGTATCCTGGCCAACAATTCTGCAGATAAAAATTATTCATTTACTTTCATGGTTGGTGGTGGGACAACGCTGTGTGCATTTTGGCTACTGCATTCACCTACAAAAATTCACTGTGTTACCGTAAATTCTGTGAAGTGCTTTGAGATGCCTCAACAACTTAATGAGGAGCAACAACAAGATTACATTTGTATAGCGCCTTTCATGTCGAGAGGACCTCCCAAGGCGCTGGACAGAGTACAGCATTTCAGACCCGAGCTGGGGTCGCGGGGGAGGGGAGAAGGGAGGGGAAGGGGGGGCCGATGGCATGGTCGAAGAGGAGGGTCTTGAGGTGGGACTTGAAGGAGGCTAAAGAGGGGGCGAGGCGGAGTGACTGGGGGATGGAATTCCATAAATAACAATAACAAACACAGGGATTATCATCATCAGCCAAGCAAGTCTTTCTCTCCTGAGGCAGTTCAAATTGGCTTACCTAAGAGGTCTTTTTAATAGATTCTTTGAAGAGCTTTTTTTTTCATGTGAATTTTTCCATTGGAGGATATTTCCCTTTAAAGCTGCCAGAAGATCCAAGATTCCAATTTTTGTTCAGGGCTTTAATAATTCCTTGAAAAAACTTCAACACAAAGACTGGTTGCGAATATGCAGATATATATATATAAAACTTAATATATATATTCCATTTAAAATAGCAAAACCAGGAGTCTCATGGCTACATATATATATATATATAGAAAATATATAGTCAGTTATATTTCCATTACTGGAAAAGATGGGAAGTATAGTTGGGAGGAAGGGAGGGGGAATGAATTCAACATAGAAGTAGTCAGGGCATGAATCTTTATTCAGACTTATTTATTCACTCCCCTCTCTTCCAAACCTTTTC